GTGGTCCTTTCCCAGCACAGCCCTTCCTATGAACTGCAGCATGACCAGCAGTTAGGTGCCATCGAAAGAGATGAGGTTCTGGGAGCTTCATCCTATCAACTCTAGCGCTTCAAGGCCATTTGCCTGGCTTCAGTGCCTGCTTTTTGCAGCTCAAATCTCAGCAGTGAAATCCCCCCACCCCCCCACCCCCCCAAAAACTCACCTGGAGCAATGAGTGCAAGCTGTAGACCCTGTTTTCAAGCCCCACCACCACCCTAAGCAGTCTGAAATCCTCCCATCCTTGACCTCACTGTACCCCACTAGAGGTGACACTTCTCCCCAAGGCTATTCTCTATCCTCCTGGGGCAAGGTCCTGGGAGACCCTTAGCCCTTCCTCCAGCAAGGCAGAAGCAATGTGAAACTGACCTCAGAGACCCTCAGAATGTCAGTAAGGAAAAGGCCCAGGAGCTCGGCAACTCAACGCCCCCAGCTGCAGGAGGAGGAAAGTGAGGCCACAGAGGGAACAGGCTTGTCCAAGGTCACCTGAAAAGGAGGCAGAGGAGCCAGTGCTTAATCTAGACTCTCCTGGCTCTCTCTGCCCCGCTCCCTACAAAGCAAAACGGGGAAAGCCTGGAGGCTGGTGCCAAATTTAGTGAGAGATGCAACAAGGAGCCCTAAGGATCCAGCAACCTAGATGAAGGTTACCAGAGCCCAAAGGTAGAAGGGAGAGGAGGACAAATGAGGGAAACTGGAGGCAGGCTGAGACTCTGAAAGACCTTACAGGGATGTGGAATCCAGGTGAAGTACACAAGGTATCCCTGGAGTCAGCGTGATCTTAGGAGGCTATCTAGAAAGGAGGGTCCCCATCTCCCCACCATACCAAAAAATATCTGGGCACAGAAGCTGCAGGCAATTAAAAGGCACAGTAACCATGCAAAACCTGCAGCTGTTGCTGGGACTGTTGGCTCCTACCTGCAGGGAGTGGTGGTAACAGGAGCAACAGCGCAGGCCTGCTTCCATTCTCCACGCACAACCCAGGCTTGAGTGTCCAGCAAGGCACCCGGTCCACCTGGCTGCTTGCCATAATCCCCCAACTCTGCTCAAGTTTAGACACCTGCTGCTGGCATCTCAAAACATCCTCTCTCCAGACTGCCAGGCTGCTGGGAACTGTATTTGACTGTCTAGGGTAACAGCCATCCGCCCTCTGCATAGGCGGGTCTCGCACCAGGGGCCTTCCACGAAACATGAGAGACAGACAGCTTAGAATCTAACTTGCCTTATGTCAGAACCGCCAGAGGAGGAGTTTAAATGTTGCCTCCTGAGCTGCTACAGACTCAGAACCTGCATCTGAATACATCCCGCTGGCAATTCTGTTGCAATTCAAAGCCAGAGACCCACTGTCTCACAACTTTTCTGGGCAGCCTGCACTCTCTCCTCTGTTGACAATCTGGCAGCTGTTACAGTTGTGTGTGGACACGGTTAATCTGATTTCCTGTCTGGCAGCTGTGCAGAGGGAAAGGGACAGCTGAGGGTCTCAAAAACAAGATGAGCTAGGAGGGCATGGGGGCAGCAAAGGCTCTGTCTGGGTGGGTGTTTTACTCTGTTCCTGAGCCCTCCCTCACCTTCCTTTGAGCCAAAGTGCCTGGGGAGACAGAGATAATTGGCTAAGTGGTTCCAAGTATTTATTGAGGGGGGGAACTACTTTTAGACACCCCAGGATCGGGGCCAGAATGGGCCCTACTCTCTAGGAGCACAAACTCTGGAGGCACACAGACAGGCCTACCACATAAGGTTGTACAGGTTGTATGTATACTGCAGATGGGCACCAACTGAACGAACGAACTGGAGTTAAATCTAGTCCACGCTCTGGTTGCCAAACCATAGGCACCAGGTACAAGGACACACCCACCCAAAGGACCATTGTTTAGAGAAATGTAAGAGTTTTTGTGTAGAGTTACAATGGTCCCACACAGGCAGACCTGAGTTCAAATCTTAGCTCTTACTTATTCTGTTATTCTGTGATCCTGGGTAAGGTTTTGGGGTTTTGTTTTGTTTTTGTTTTTGTTTTGTTGTTGGCTTTTCAAACAGGGTTTCGCGGTGTAGCCCTGGCTGTCCTGGAACTCACTCTGTAGACCAGGCTGGCCTCAAACTCACAGAGATCCACCTGCCTCTGCCTATCTCCCCCCCCCCCCAAGTGCTGGGATTAAAGGTGTGTGTACCACTGCCCTGCCCTGGGTAAGTTCTTTGACTTCTCTGATCCTTCTCAATTATGGAATGTGGGTTATTAACATCCTTCCTAAAAGAGACCAGTGAGGAAAGTCCCGGGTATCCTTGCCACCTCGTGTATTACAATATTATTTCCACTTAAGTCCTGCCCTTCCTACCTTCCTGGCATCCCCACACCTACACATTCCTGACACACAGCCATGCTCGGAATGGCCTCAAGAGCCTAAATAAGAACAGCCAGGGAAAGCCCCAGTTTCCCATGGGACTTCCCAACATCCAGAGCATTCCTTCCTGGCACACACCAGATCCATACCTCCTTCAGTGGGCAGAGAAGCCTCCTCCTCTGCCACCCCTTCTCATATGTCCAGGACTCAGCCCAACCAGAAATGGACAGGGAAATCAGAGTCCAGTTCTGGAGTCATTGGGAATCCCACAGTGGTGTTAAAGATCCCAGGATCCTCAAGCCAGGGCCAAGTGGAGGTGCCCACTGTGCACTGGGCAGTGACATGGTAGCTAGACAGAGACACCCATCTGTCAAGAGAGGCCGCCAGTCACCAGCAGTGGAAGCAGAAATTGTCCCCTTGTCCCTTCCTTAAGCAGGAAGAGCAGAGTGTTTCTGTCCCTCTTGAGGTCACTTACCCTTAGGTGCCACCATAGCTGTCTCTACTCAGCCACCAGGTCAAGCCCCAGAATAGCACCCAGGCAATCTGCCAAAAGGCTGGGCCTCCGCCCCCTCGTGCGACGCTCATTCATCTAAGTGGCACCCACTGTGCTAGGTGCTGGGTGTTGGCAGCCAAGAAGACAGCATAGGGAGCAAAAGCGGCCCCCAAATAAGAATTCCCAGGACTTGCTGCTACAAGGGACAGAGAGGCAGCCTCTTCTCCAGTCCTTTGGGCTGGAGAAACCAGCAACACCATTCAAGAAACTGGCTGGAAACTGGCTGGAAACTGGCTTTTTCACTTGTAGGCTTTTGCATATTGTCTAGAGGCTGCTCAAGAAATCGGTAGGAGAGGGTGCATGAAGCGAAAGGGGCAGGAGGGAAACACCAGGCTTCTGGGCCCTCATGGCCATGTTTATCTAGGGTGGATTTTTTTTTCTTAACCCAAAGGTTAAAGTGTTTCTATTTGAAACGACTATTTACATTCCAGAGTCCAAAAAAAAAAAAAGGCAGCCAAGCTCCAGGCCTATATCTGTCCCCAACAGCGTCACAGACACAGCATCAGAGCTGCTCAGGGGGAACATTCTTTGCCCCCCCTTCCCCCAGAGCTGCTCGGGTGACTCACACCTCCCTCCTGCCAGCAGGGACTGCTTGCCGTGGCTCAGAAAGCCAGGTTGGAGACCAGGGATAGAAGAATATAGTCCTAAACTTTCAGGATTTCTGGAGTCTAGTTCAAAAAGGATAAGTAAGTAAGAGGGAACTTGGGGCCAACTGGTGGCTCAGTGCAGAACCGGCTGACAGCTAGTAGCCACCCTAGGTGATGCTCTGCAGACATTCCTGCACCTCTGAGGAGCCCACCTTAACACCCACAGGGCAGGGTTTGGAGGTTGAACACAGGAGCTGTAGCTCAATTAGCTCTGGGCAAGAAGCAGCCTTTTGGATCCTTCCCAGAGGCCTGGTGGGCACCCTGCAGGGTTGGTCTCCTACAAGACTATGTCCTATAAGAGGACACCGAGTGAACATCCCAATCCATGTCCACATAAACAGCAAATCGTGTCCCAAGGAGTTTCCAAACCTTCCCAAAACATTCTTCTGAAACCTCCCAGTCCTACCCATGGACCTTACCCCTGGACAGTTGAGAGCCAAATCACAGGTACCCGGAGAGGCACACAGCTCCCACCTTCTAATTGGAACCTTCAGGTCCACACCCACATATCCAGAGTCAAGGGCTCTAGCACACAGACACACATATTCTCTCTCACACACAAGTACCAAGCCAGGCCACTGCCAGGAGGGGCCAAGTGGGCATGGGTCCAGCTGGCCCCTCCCTGGAGGAAGCATCCTGCGGTGCCAGCCTGGTGGGGAGGCTGTACCAGAAGGGCCTGGTGCTGCCAACAGGTTTCTGAGTGAGAGGAGGAGTGGCCAGCTCTGGGGAGACTCCACCCCCCACCAAGAACCAAATAAGTCCCCCAGAGAAGGTGGCAGGCTAGGAACACTCAAGCTTAAGTAAGATGCCCACCCGAGTCAAAGTAACACTCCTCTACCCACAGGAAGTGGAAGACATAGCTAGGAGCTAAGGCAGTCAAAATATACTTCAACATCCCAGCTGCTAGTCTCTGAGCAACCCTATCCCAAGGAGCCTAAGTGTCCATTCTCAAAAGTCTCCCGACCAAAAACTTGCCAAAGTCAACTACACCCTGACCAGGTCAAACCAAGCCACAAAAGCTAGGACATTTCTGATTCCTGTAGGTACCCCAGGTACACTTTCTTCCTCTGCTCAGTTGTGGGGAGCAGGCAGCCTGGAGACAGGTCACTGACCCACTTCCACCCCTTCGACCATGGTGCCAACTAGGCCAGAATCCTGTAGGAAGCCCCAGCCCCTCACAGCTGAGCTGATCTGCTCAGGGCAGAGGGATGCGGCAGAGGGTAGCTCGGAGGCAGGTTGAAAGGGCAGCTCTGGGCAAGGATGGCAGGGAGACTGCCCTAGAAGCTTGGCTCTTCCGATCCATGGGTGTTCAACAGAGCTCTCAAGAGAGCTGAAGCAAGACCCCAGTGGGGCACGACTCACAATAGATGCTCAATCCAGGTAGAAAGAAGCCCAAGAACTGAGTGCAGGTGGGGACACAAAACCACTTACCTGCCACAGGGATGCTGTGCAGAGGAGTCCGTGGCAGGATTTCCAAGGATGGCTCCCGGCCTGGCATGCCATCTGCTGAGAAACAGGACTCGGTCTCATAGATGGTTTGCAGCATCTCCACGAGCCCCTGTGCCTTGGGCACCAGCAGCATGCCAGGGAGGAGCCGCCCGAGGCGGAAGCCGGTGAGGGGAAGGTGGTCAGCAGGGCCAGCAGGCTGCTCAAGGACTCCCTCAGGCCACTGCCGCTGGGACCCACAAGGCAAGGAGGCGCCTCATCCGGCCTGGGCGCTCTGGAGGCAGCAGAGGCAGGGAGGCTAATGAGGCTGTAGGCCTACTCTCTACTCCAGGAGCATGGACCAAGGCCTGTCCAAAGGTTCCAGGAGTTGGGCTATGGCTGTGTGCTCAGGGGACAGGAAGGGGAGCTCAGTGGGCAAGCAGGCTCTCTGTGTTCCCTCCCAGCACCACCGGTGACAGCTCTGGGCCTGGCTCCCTGCTCCTCCTCCCCGAATGAGCCGCCGGCAGCTGGCAGGAGACTGAAATAGCAGTTGGGGGAGGGCCCTGTCTATAAATAGGTGGAGCATGCTCAGGGAGCCGCCGGCTGGCTGCCAGGAGCCCAGGCCTGGCGGAGGCCCCATGGGGGGGGGGGGGGGG